CCCCCCCCCCCACCCCAGCACCAGCTCAGAGCCTGGAGGCGCTGGCCACGCGGGAACATGTGCTGAGTGAAGAAATGAGGAAATGCAGGCATGAGTGAGTGAACGACAGGAATCTCCCGGGGCCTGGGCTGTAGGGCCCAGTGAGGACACGGAGGGAGCGTGCGTGGGCACGGGGAGAGGGGCTGCAATGGCCCGGGGGGCTCACCTGTGTCCAGGACCCGCAGGCCGAAGTGGGACAGCATCCCCACCATGTTCAGGTTCTCCAGCTCCTTGGCCAGGACGAGCCCGGAGGTCTTCAGGCCGGCCAGCTCCACCTCCAGCCTCTGCTGCTGGTTCTGCAAGGAAACCAAGGTGTGCAGGGCCGCCAGCCCTCCCCCGGGATGAGACATTCAAATGAATGAATGAATGAAGTGAATAAATAAGTAAATATGCATAAGAAAATAAGTAAATGAATAAATACATGTAAGATAAAGTAAATAAGTGGGCAAATACGTATAAGTAAATAAAGTAAATAAGTACAAAGTAAATAAGTAAATGATTAAATAGGTAAATAAGTAAATAAGTCAGCACACAAGTCAACCTTTAAAGAGGGTCTGGCAGCTGCTCCTGCAAGGAATCCACAAACATCCCCCATCTCTCCTCCCTGCTCCAGGAAGCAGCCTTCGCTTGTTACAATCCTACTGCTTTGAGCTGAGCCCTGCACAAGGCTCAGTGTCTCCCTCACCCTCCTGCAAGGAGGTGTCCCTGCCTCATTTTATAGGCCTGGGAAGTGAGGTTTGGGGAGGCAAGCCCAGATCCACAGCTGGGCCTTCTCAGGCTCCCATCTGCAGCCCCCACAGCAGAATCAGACCTGGGCCAAGGACAGTGTGGGGCAGTGCCAGGGCGAGGACTGTGTGTGCAGGGGCTGGGCTCCTGGGGTGGGGGGTGGGGGGCTCTGGCTCACCAGGAAAGGGTGCTGCATGCCAGGCCTCAGACCCTCCTCCATCCCTGGGAAGTGGGCAGGGCTGTCTTCCTCTAAAGATGTTGTCTTAAGTGGACCATGTGTTCTTCATCCCTTGTTTTCTGACACCACTGGACAGGTGGGGACCCTGAGCTGAGCAGTGGACACCTCCCTCCCAGGGCCTCACCTGAAACTCAGCCAGCTGCCTCTGCAGGGCCATCTGCTTTGCTTGAGCTCTTTCTAGAGTCTTCCTCAGCTCTCTGAGCTCAAATTCCTTGACTGGGAGGAAAGACAGGAGAAAGCCATCATTTTCTGTTCTTTTCCATCAAAAAACCTCCCCTTCCCTTTGAACTGAACCTCAGGCAGGCAGCAGCTGGGACCCCACGATGTGCTGTCATTCTCAAAATCCACTTTAACAGAGTTTATTTCATTCTCTGCTAATATAAAGGACATCTAGGAAATGTCCTTTTCCATTGAGAAAAATGTGGCAGCCACAGAAAGAAATAAAACACAAAATCTCCTCTTCTTGCCTCCTAGAGATAACCACCATAAATATTCGTGTGGATTTACATATGCATAATTTTACATCGTTGAGATTGTTGGGAAGTTGTGAAAAACACGAGTCTTGGAGTCAATGGCCGGGTTTAAATCTTAGCTTGGCCACTCACCAGCTGTGCAACCATGGGCAGGTGACTTAACCTCTCTGTGCTGCACTTCCCTCGTCTTTAAGAGGAAGTGATGCTATTCCTGACCTTATAGTACTTTTATGAGAAGTAAAAGAGGCAATCTGTATAAACTGCTTAGACCTAAGCCTGGTTTGTTGGAGGCCGTCGGTGATTTCCCATCAGATTATTATTTTTATTTATCATTACTCTCCTCGATGGCACCCTTTCTTTCTTTGTACTGCTCAATATTATAACCTACGATGGAGGTAGTTCTGACCAGCATCGTAAAATCCTAGTTACCAGGCCGTTGCAGAACCTGACCACTCACTTTTCAGAAGTTTGAAGATAAAGTCTTGCAAGAAACACAAGTCAAGGGAAGCAAAGTTCTTCTTGGGAATCAGAGCTCCGAGTGGTGGGAGACCAGGACACTCGGTTTCCTCCCCTGAGTCCCCTTTGTTCAAATTCTGACCTGCCTCTTCCTCCAGAGGTCTCGGATGCTTCAAGCACTGGGCTGAATCTTTTTCAAATTCCCCTACATTAAAAAAAAAAAAGCAAAGAAATCCCATGGGAAAGGTCAGCTCCAGGAGCAAAAATGAGTGTCTCCTCCGGGCCTCGCCCCCTGATCAGATGTGGGCAAGCCCGTCCAAGCTGGGGGGCAGGCAGACATACAAGCAGAGAACACTGGGACCAAGGCTGGATGGAGGGCAGCAGGGGAGGCTTCCTGGAAGAGGGGGTCCTTGACTGAGATGGGTATTCTTTTTTCCTAACAGCTTTATTGAGATCTAATTCACATGCCATACAATTCACTCATTTAAAGTGTACAATTCAATGGTTTTTAGTATGTTCAGATATGTGAAACCATTACTACAGTTAGTCTTAGAACAGATTCACCCCTCTAAAAAGAAGCCTGGTACCCCTGAGCCATCGCGCCCCCCACCCCATCCCCGCCGCCAGCCCTAGGCAACCACTAATCTGCTTTCTGTCTCTACAGATTTCCCTGTTCTGGACATTTCATTACACATGGAATCATAAAATACGTGGTCCTTTGTGACTGTCTTTTTTTTTAACTTACCATGTTTTCAAGGTTCACGTATGTTGTAGCATGTATCAGTACTTCATTGCTTTTCATGGCTGAATAATATTCCAGCGAATGGAGGGACCATATTCTGTTTATCCTTCAGTTGATGGGCGTTTGGGGTGTTCCCACTTTGGGGCTATTATTATGTGAACATACATTTTCAGTCCCCTTGGGGACACCCCTAGGAGTGGAGTGGCTGGCTCATGGGCATCTCTACAGCTAACCTCTTGAGGAACTGCCAGGCTGTTTTCCACAGCGGCTGCGCCATTCGACATTCCCACCGGCAGTGCACCAGGGCTCATGTGCTCAGCAACACTCACTATTATCCACCTTTCTGACAGGGTTTCGAAGGATAAGCAGGGGTGAGACTGGTGCACAGAGGTGGGGAGGCCATTGCGAGAGGGGGCCTGCTTGAGGGGAGAGACGCGGAATCGCAGAGCAGGGAGCCCTGGGAGCCACCGGGCCGGCTTGCCACTCCTGGAAGGGGAGGCGGGAGGGACCCAGCTGCTGACACACCACAGCCCCAGGCTCAGAATAACAGCAGTGGACACCCAACCCAGCACGTGCTGGCGTGGTTAGGGGCTGCCACACGATTAAGTCACTTACTCCCTATGACCGCACTATGAGGTCAGTGCTATGGTTATGCCCATGTTTGCACTTGAGGAAACTTAGGTGATGGGTGGAGAGTTTGCCGAAGGTATTAAAGGTAGTTAAGTGGTGGAGTAGGAATTCAAACTCAGGCCCTTCACAGTGACAGGGCACAGCCCACCTAAGATGTCACCATGGTGGACACGCCTGGTGGCCTCTCATGGAAAGGAGACAGCAAGTGTTAAAACGCTGGGACCTCACGTGGAGACAGAACACACGTTAGCGGGTGCCTAGGAATGGGGAGACTGCTTGTGGGTACCGGGTTTCTTCCTGGGGTGATGAAAATGTTCCAAGCTTAACTGCAGTCACGGTTGCACCTATCTGTGAATATAGTAAAACCCGCTTTCAGGGGGTGAGTTTTATGGCACGTGAATCAGATTTCAACAACACTGTTACAAGGGAACTCTGGGACCTTGCTCCCTCATCGGCTCTATGCTCTGGCTTTGCTGAGCGGGAGCACAGAGACCGGGATGGGACACCTGAGGTTCTTCGCCAGTGGAGGCTGGTGACTCCTGCGCTCACTCCTGCCTGGGGAATCCCCCGCTGAGTGAGCCCTGAGCCCTGAAGGGTGCAAGGCCACCCCCCCCCAATCAGGACCAGGCCTCAGAGACTTGAGACCCCAGCTGAACTCCTGCAGCAATGAAAGCAGAAATGGAAAAGCTCTCAAGAGCCCCACCGCCCCTGTAAAATTGGTAGGCGGTTTAGAGGGATGAAGGGAGGTCTGTCTACACCTGTTTTCTTTTAAGGAACCGCAGAGGCCCTCAGAGTTACCTGGTGCATAGCCACACACATCCACAGCTTCACGGTCCCCGGCACAAAATTTTATAGATTTTTGAAATAAGCCTTAATCTCTCCAGTGGCTTATTTGCCCGGCATAACTCCAGGCATTGGAGCTCACGTCAGACTTAATTGCAGGTAATGAGATGCATTTTTCTCTCCATTTGCCATTATTCACCATCAACAAGACGTTACGGCACACCGCTTCTATCCTTTCAAACACCAGACCTACCGTGTGCCTCCTACACAGCTGTACATGCCTTCATCAAATGTGAGTACATTCTGTGTGTGTCTGTGTGCACGTACACGCGTGTGTGCTGCAGGGTGGTGGTGACAATAACAGGATAATTACAAAGGAAAGGCAGCCTCAGGAACCCCAAGAGACCGCCTCCCAAGTCTGCGATCAGGGAAGGCTTCCTGGGGGAGGTGATGTCCTGGCGGTGCCAGGCCTGCAAAGGCACTGATGCCATCCTCAGGGGAGCCTACAAGGCAGGCGGTTTCATCCTCTCTTTACAGGTGAGGTGGTGGAAGCACAGAGAGGTTAGGTAACTGGCCTCAGGACACTCAGCAAGCATGGCACACAGTAAGGGCTTAAGTCAGATCTTTTTCTGCTTTACCAACATTGAAAATAGGTGGAACAAAGAAAAAAGATGTGACCCCTTAGGCCAGCACCTGACATAGCTGTTCCCATTCATAGAGGACCTTTCCTAGTCCCAGAGCACAGTGGGGTGTTAAGTAGTTGCAACCACTGTAGGGCCTCTGTGTTCTGTGGGCGCTGTTTCATTTGAATGCAAGACATTTTAATGCAAAGATGCTGTATTAATACGTATACTTCAGGTTTTGGGGGGAACAGAGTTCTGTCTCATTCTTTCTTTGTCTCGAGCACCTGGCTCAGGGCCTGGGAAGGAGTAAGTGCTCAGCGTTATTGTTGAATCATTCATTCATTCATTCATTCATTCAACACATGCTCACTGAATGCCTACTATGAGTGCCAGGCATGGCTCTGGGCCTGGGGGTACTACAGTGAATAAAACGGGCAAAAAAACCCAAAACCCAAACATGTGGGACTTATATTCCGGTGGGAGATAACAAACAACATGAATGAGCAAATGAAAGAAGCAGATAGAAAATTATGGACTGATGGAGAGAAATGAAGCAGAGACGGGAAGGTGGGCAGGGGGCAGGGGGTATGCCATGGTTCCGAGTGAGCTGGGCGACCTCCCAGGGGAAGCGACAGTTAAGCAAGACCTGGGTGAAGGGAGGGAGCGAGTCCTACAGTGACACAGAGCACTGCAGGCTGAGAGTGCCCAGAGGTGGGCACTGCCACCAAGCTCTGGGGACAGTTAAGGAGGCAGGGTGCTGGAGCAAAGTGAGCAAAAGCTTCAGGGGGACCTGAGCCCCCTCCAGGGGCAGGGGGGGCCCGAGCAGCTGGGCCTGGCTCATTACCGTTCCTTGGAAGAACCACCCCTCCTAAACTCCCACCTGCATTACATTTAAATAACGAGGCATCTATGGGTGGCGGGTTGCTGAGCTCCCAGGCAGGCAGGTGCAGTGGAGTCAAGGTGCGCATTTGCCACATGGCAGCACAGAGCGGAGCCGGTGGTTACCTGTGAGGGTCTGCAGGTGCTGCTTCCCCAACAGGTGCTCCTTCTTGTTATGCAGCGAACTGAAGAACTGCCTGCAGGTCCGACAGTACAGGTCCTTGTTCTCATCCCCCTGTGGCCAGAAAGGGTTTCAGAGCAGGGAGGGAGCCTGTGCCTCCTCCGAACAGAAAACTCGCTGAAAAGGGCTTCTGTGGGCCGGGCGGGCCATGCTGGTCCCTTCCTCACCTGTGACATCACTTGCAGAGAATTTCAAATCATCCCAAGACCGCTGTCAACAGGTGGGAGAGAAAGTGCTAGGCAGTTGCAAGGAGGGAACCCCAGGGAGTTTTTGAGAATCAGTGTTATTTGAGTAAGCCCACAACTGATCCTGGGTTTTGCTTATGTTTCAAAGAGCTTGCCTTGAGACCCTAGACCAAAATGAACTTTATGACTAAATGACAAAGATGTGTCCTTTTGCCAAAATACATATGCCCTGATCCATAGGTGCTTGTGTACCGACGCAGTATTTCTGTACGCTGCACTAGGAATGGGTCAGAGGGACATGGTGGGAGGCAGAGGCGGGTTTTGGGGTGCGAGGGACCAGTGCTCCGGCCTGAGAACAGGGCCCTCCTCTCATTGTGAGCTTTTGCACACTGTGCTTTTTTTTTTTTTTACTGTGCACATATATTTTTAAAATGAAAAACCTAGTTAATTAAAAAACATATATCGTTATATGCATTAGTTCAGAGATGTAAAACCTCCCTAAGCTCTGACAAGAGATGGACAAACACTTGATTTAGGTCCCTCCGGAGAGCCAGCCAGGACGTGACCGCGGGCTCAGGACACACTGCTGCTCAGGAATCGCCTGCCTTATCAGAGAGGAGCTCCCTCCTTCAGCTCGGAGACGCGCCCTGACCAGGATGAAGTGGCTGTGTGGTTCCTTCCACACCCCCACACCCTCTGAGACTTGCTCTGCGTTCCCCCCCCCCTCCCGAGTGAGCAGACAAGCCTGCGGCCATGAAGGAGACAGGAGCCCTGGCTCGAGAGAGAGGACAGGGAGGGCTGGGCAGAGAGGGGGTGCTGGAGAGAGGACTGCGTCAGGAGGGGACTACTTGGAGGGGAGAGAGGTCTGCACTGCCAAGGCCTCCAAGAAAGGGCCCCAAAACCCCACCAAGGCTGTGCCGAGACATTAGAGAACATCCAAACTGCATGTACACACCTATCAACAAAAAGTTCTGTACCCTCACTTTGACTTTATAGAAATATATCGTTACACATGTGCTTCCTTCTTATAAGGACACTGCGACTGCATAATCCCCCCCTGCATAATCTCAGGATCCGTAGTCACCCCGCCCCCCCCCTTTGCCATATAAGGTCATATTCAAGGTCCCAGGGAGTAGGACCTAGGTATCTTTCCGGAGGGAACATTTTTCAGCCTGCCACACCAAACGAGAGTGGTTATTTTAAAATGTCTTTTTTGCCCCCCAAATACTTACATCAATTGCTAAGAAGTCAAGGCACTTGCTTTCTGATTCACTTCCTGGTGTACCTGTTCCTGACAGAAACAAATGGCATCATTTAAAAAAGCCTCAGAAAAGGGCTCAGCCTTATTTTGCGAGGGGGGTGGCGGAATTAATTCGAGGGTCAGAAGAGCCTTCTGAGGATGGAAACATTTATCTGGAGAGGTCTCCATACTTCCTGTCAGGGCTTGACTTTGGCTGCTCAGTTTCAATGGAGGTCTGAAAATCCCTATAAGCCAAGGAAACACCAGGTGCCTCTGATTTATAAACACCTGGCCAGGTATGGAATGAAGATTAGAAAGAAGACAAAAATGAAAACAGTTCATTTTTCATTAGCATGGCAGATGCTAGGTGATATTTTAAGAATTGTTTATTATAATTATAATATGTTTATATAGTCAATGTTAAAAAGTTACCATTTTAAAAATAAGGCAGTAACACATCTTATTTGTTTAAAAAAACAAGCTGTTGGAGCGGCCTTTCTTTGTAACATGCCAGCTTTTCATAAGATGACAATCTGCAAACAACCACGAAAATTAGGAGGCAGCCACAGGTCTCCAGCATGACTGAGGATTAAGGAAGATGACGTGTTCTCTGCAAAGTCGGACAGGCAGCAGTGTTAGGGAGAAAAATTTGAGGACGGAATGACAGCTGCTCCCAGGGGACCCTTGGCCAGCGGTCTCAGGGCCCAGTTTGCTTAGCTCTGACATGATGAGGCCAGAGACCTTGCAGCTACCTCAGAACCACCCGAGACCCCACTATGTTTAGTGGGTTGCATGTGGCTGCTAATACATGTTGGAGCAGTGGTTTTCCAACTATTTTTATCTGCAGGTGCTTGATTGAAAACAAAGGTTAGGTGAAAACCCATAAGCACAATGGACCAGAGTGAAGATGCCTGTGGACCCATTGGCCCTCTGCTTGTTTGCCATCTTGTCAGGGGACAAGAATAGCAATATGGGATTCCGTAGTTTCCTGACCCAATTCGATGGAACCCAGAAGGAAAACAAGCTGAAGAAGCTCTAAAGGAAGAATTATCGAAAGCTCCCGCTCTGGGGCACCCTAGTTATAAGGTTCCCTTCTTCCTTTGCATACATGAAAACAAAGGAAATGCTTTAGGGGTTCTAACTCAGAAACATGGAGACCATCGTAAACCTATAGGATATTATAGCCAGCAATTAGACTTGGTCGCAAAGGGCTCCCTCCTTGCCTGAGGGCAATTGCTGCTACAGCCATAATATGCAAACAAACAGGAGAGGTAGTTATGGGCTCTCCTTTAGCTATTTATGCTCCTCATTCTGTTGAATCCTTACTGAACTCTCACCACACTCAACGCTTTTCTGTCAGTTGACTGGCTTCTTATAAAGTATTCCTGCTTTCTTCACCTAATATTTCTTTAACTTGACGTAACAGTCTTACCCCAGCAACTTTATCACCTTCTTTGCAGGATGAAGACACGCACGATTGTGTTTTGCTTACTGACCACCTTCTTGTTCCTAGAAATGATTTACAGGAAACTCCTATTGATAATGCCGACTTAATCTGGTTTACAGATGGCTCTTATTTGAAAGATGAACAGGGACATTGCCGAGCTGGATATGCAGTAACTTCCATGGTGGACATAATGGAAGGTTCTTATTTATCTGAAATAAGATCTGCCCAGCAAGCCAAACTAATTGCTCTACCTTGAGCTTGTCACTTGGCCAAAGATTAAGTAGCCAACATTTACACGGATAGCCGCTGTGCCTTTGGGGTAGCTCATGACTTTGGAATGCTGTGGAAGTATCGAGGCTTCTTAACTTCCTCAGGACAATCCATAAAGAATGGAAAACAGGTTGTAGAATTATTAGAGGCCATCTAACAACCAAGACAATTGGCGATTATCAAAAGTCCAGGACATTCTAGGGCCGGCCGAGTAGCTCAGTTGGTTAAGAGCTTGCTCAAGAGTGTGAGCTCTGAGCAACAGCGGTTCGGCTCCCGACCCGAGCTGAGCAGCCGCTGAGCTGCCAACAGGTGGCAGGATGGCTCAGCTAAAAAAACAAAAACAAAAACAAACCAAAAGTCCAGTACATCCTAAAGCCACCGCCATGGAAGCGAAAGGAAGTCATTTAGCCGATGCTGCAGCTCAACAGGCAGCACTGAATAGGCAAATTATCCAGACCTGAGCATGCTCCTTGCCTCCCATTAAATCAACAAAACACTCTCTTTTATAGTCCAAGGGACAGCCACAGGAGAAGGGAAGAGGATATGGCAACCAAGAGGGGGAAACTTTGACTCCGGCAGACAGATATGGCTTGGACCCAATCAGAAACCAATCTTACCTCTAGGGGCTCAGCTGCCTATACTCCCAACATGCGCATGAGCTAATTCACTGGGGTCCTGAAAAGATGATTTTATGAACCAAACAATATTACTGGAAACCTTCTCCCACTGTAGCTCATTAAGTGTATGGCAGACATCCTATCTGTCCAAAATATAACCCAGGAAACCCAGTCCATGGGTACCCCAAGGACACTTCCCACTTCCTTTAGGTCCATTTGAGATATGGCAATTGGATTTTATCCAAATGCCACCATCTCGGGGATACAAACATATGTTATTTATGGTCTGTATGTTGTCTCACTGGGTTGAGGCATTCCCTTGCAGGAATTCCTCAATTGAGGACTATTTTTTTCCTGCTGAGTTACATAGTGACTGAGGAACTCATTTCACTGGGGAAGTAACGCGATCCATCTGTAACATTTGGCCGATTCTACAGCATTTTTGTTGTGCTCATCACCCCCAGTCCTTTAGATTGGTGGAACGTACCAACGGTACAATCAAAATTCAATGAGCCAAAATTTCAGAAGCTTTTAATCTCCCTTGGCCAAAGGCTCTCCCTGTCATGCTACTCAATCTGAGATCTACTCCTTTTGGTAAAGATAGTCTTTCTCCTTAGGAACTAGTCACCAGTTGCCCTATGCATTTGGATGAAGGGGCATATGAGCCAACCTTACTAAAGGGAGACATTTTACATTATTGACAAGAACTTATTAACCAGCCTAAAGGGACCGATAAATTAGTAACTGATTGATTTCACAGTGTGCTTCCAGGAGACGAAGGCTTCAAAGGCCATGGCTTACAACCCGGAGATTTTGTCTACTGGAAGGAAAAGACATCATATAAAAGATTCTCTCCAGCCTCGCTGGAAGGGACCTTATCAGGTGTTACTAACTAATCCATGTGCAACCAAGCTTAAAGGAGTTGACTCATGGATTCACATTTCTCATTTAAAAAAGGCACCTAAGAGTGAACGGGCATCTATTCCTGTCTCTGACACTCGCCTCCGTCTACAGTGGGCATAAACAAGTCAAGGACGAGTAGCTGCTGGCATCAAAGGCAGATAGCCCAGGACACCGATAAGGCCTGTATACCTACAAATTGATGCTGGACCCAGGGACACTTATTTAATCAGTTTTTTCTTTTCTTGACTGCTAATAATGACAGTTAAATTTGTTCTTTGAATTTCTCTCAAACCTTATTCTTACATCACCTGTTGAGATATAGCAAATGGTTCTTTCATTGTTATTCTCCTTCTTATGGTCTCCTCATGGAAACAATATCTGTCTCCCCAGAGCCCCTCCCTTACTGGATGTGAAAAATTTAACTTGGGGACCTGCTAACCTCCTTTCCCATCTCCTGGACAATGACGTTCTCATGATCAGTTATGGCAATGAAGCTAACTAACACCTTGTTAGCCACGCGTTGGTCCTCTCCTGCTATTAATATGACCTTTGGGACATTTTTTTCTGGGTGTATCTATTATCAAGAACACCTCCCTGAGGGCCAGCTGAATGGCTCAGTTGGTTAAGAGCTCGCTCATAGTTTGAGCTCTGAGCAACAGTGGTTCGAGTCAGCCCGAACTGAGCAGCCGCTGAGCTGCCAACAGGTGGCGGGATGGCCCAGCTAAAAAAAAAATAAATAAAAAAGAACACCTCCCTGATAATTCCCCTGGTAGAATTATACATGGATCTCATTTAGATGAGTATTGTATAGCTATAGGAAGAGATGATAAAAAAATTAAGAAAAATACCTGGGTATGATGGGAAAAGGCTTGTAGCAGCCTGCCCTATCTGTCATAGTATAGCTTGTCCTCTAAACCACCAGCCATGGTCCTATGGCTGGATGCCCATAAAACAGGAAAAACATAGATGGGTCCCCATTTCAGAAATTATTGGCATTACTTGGTGGGTAGATATGTCTGTAAGTACCCCACGTTGCTTGCATCCTGGATGCTTGTGGGAAGCCCTATGGAATACTCAAACCTAGCTCATTTTGGGGTTACCACTACTCGTTTAACTATGGCCTAGGAGACTCAACATTTTTGGGTTCAATGTACCCCAATTGCTCCCAGGCCATAGGCACTCAACGACAGCAACATTCCTGGTGGATCCAACAACACTGGCCTTCTCTAAGAAATAAGAGGGAACAAGTTGGGGGGTTGGGATCTGGCCTTGGTATTCTGGGACAAGCTGAATTTGCAGCTAA